ACTGAATTTTGTTAGCTTTCAGCGTTGTATAATAAAGTAACTTTCTATATATATCCAATTACTTTTTCTCCTAAACCCTAAGATGGATACAACAAATATTCAAGTTACACCATGCCGACGGCCAAGATTCGTAGCTTAGCTCTTCTGCTTATATTAATTAGTGTGCTTAATAAAACTTTTGTCAGCAGTATCAGCATTGCATCCAAAATAGGTAGCCAGAGCTTAAAATAGAGACCTTAAAGTAAAGTTTCCTTTAGAAGGAATGGCCGTTATTACAAGGACAAGCTTGTCTTAAGCCCAGGAGTGAACTTGCTACTCTAAGCTCGTAAAGTTTTCTAAAGATAATTAGCACAAATAAATAAACTCTCTGAGAGCTTAATGTTGTAAAAATAGAAAAGTAAACTAATATGAACAAAAGACACAACGGCTACGGCACAACTAAGTAAAAAGTCGTGCGCAGGCGAGCATAGCATTTTACAATTAAGAGCTTAAAATATCAATAAAGCTTGAAAACTGGAGAGTTGTAGATAAAAATAAAGAAACTTAAAGACAAAATAATAGAAAGACTTTTTAAGATCATAACTTTAGGTATTAAGCCTTAAGCAGCTGTTCACATGTAAAAACGCAAATATAATTATGAAAGAATTAAAATTGCACATTAAAATTAATCCGATCAAATAAATTGCTTTTGGTACTAAGTAAAATAATAGAATTTTGCCTTTATCGCAAAATACTTTACCTCCAGCTGCCATGTTTAAAGTAAAATCTTAACCTGTTTGTATAAAATTTTCTTATCTGTTTAAAACATCTAGTAAATTTAATTAACTTAGTGTATAATTAGTTGTCCTCTAGTCTACCAAGTTATTAAGCAACTTCGACTAAGACGCCCTATAGATTAAACTATTAGCAACAAAGACGCGGTGAACACCGAAAAATAAAGAAAGAGTGGATTAAAAGAATGTAGAAGCCACAAATGTTTTTATACAAAATAAATATATATGTGTTTTCCATTTATGGTGCTATTAACCTCAGAGCTATTTAGTTAACAATAGTTACAACGCTCCCGTTGTTAAGTCGCAAGTCCGTGCAGAAAGGTGATTTTATCCTAAACAGAATACCTTGCCTGAGCTAACGGCAGTGGGGGCGCACTGCATTTCCTCGTGATAAATAGGGATTCGCTTTTTTCCGCATTTATAGTAATCTTTCAAATGGAAAATAGTGGGCAATGGTCACTAAGTAGCGCTGCAAAGGCTGGCGCCTTTGATGTCGAGCCGCCGTATTGTTTGTAATCCGTTATGGAGGTTGTCGTGCAGTGGCACCTCGTGCAAATAAAGGGCAAAGAGTAAGGGTGGTAGAAGATTCTTGTAAACCTTCCGCTGTTAGCCGTTTAAAAGGGAGTGTACTGTTGATGATATGATTCACTTACAGTGCATAATTAACTAAAGTAGATTACACGCAACCGAGGTTGTACGCTTTACGTTTTTATTGTTAACCGTGGCGTTCTTTCGGTCTGTAAGGCTATAAAGAAGTTTAAGCTTTATCATCTGGAGGGCAGGTTTAACATATTGTCTTGGTTTATAGTACCGCACAGAATATTGTCGATAACTGCCTATAGGATGGTTTATTAGGAGCTTAACGTGTAAAGGGCTTGTGCAAACTCAAAAAAAAGTTTTTAACATGTGCCCCGCCAACATGTGTATGATAGTTATGCTCCTCACGGCATGATTCTAGGATGTTATAAAAAAAAGGGAAGGAATGACTATGGCGACCTAACGGGACCTGCGTTGAATATATATATAAATATATATATACTAGTAAATAGCAGTACTCTTCAGAGCACTAATACACAGACACTAATTTCGGCGGCTGCATACTAGCACTCGCATGAATGCAACAAAGCTAACCATTTAAGCGGCTCCGGACCGATATTTTTCCGGTGTAAAAGCTAGTTGCGGTATCTTTGGGAGTATCTAAATAGTAACGTTTTACACGCAAAGGGAAACAGCAGAGGGCTACTTTCTCATCTTGTAAGATCTCAACGGTATGTTGGCCACGAGCGTTCATTAATTAGCATGTCATGGATATAAATGGAGATAGCACAACCCCATAGGAAAGGAGTTTTTTTTTTCTGCTCTTTCCTGCGTGGAACGTGGAGAGGGGCAGCCTTACTGTGTTATATATATATTTTGTCTAATAAATTTATTCATATATTTATTCCTACCTTGAGTATAAATATATCTACGCTTTTAAAGCCAATACCGGGGAAAACAGATTCGAAGAACCAATTAAAATTAGTATCACAATTAATTAAATTCTTTGTACTAGGAGAATTTATAAGAGAAGAGGTTAAATACGCGCCTGTCAAAAACCGAAAAAGTGAGTCGCGGAGGTGAGGCCCACCGCGACCTTGAGTATACGCGCCAATCCTCTGAACCGCTGAGTTACGATGGCAACTCTCGATACCGGTATGTTGGGTTTTACGTATTTCAACTGTTACTTTGTTTTTTTAGTAAATTTAACTTTTTTTTTACAGAAAATTTTCTATTGATTTTCCTTTCTTGGTTGTGACCAGCGACTCTACCTGTAGTTTCACGGTGCAGTTTAACCGCATAAAAACAAGGAAATAAGGAATAGGGGTCATCGTTATTACTTTCATCGCTTGTATCTACTGAAATTTTAATAGTATTATGCAGATAATTAGAAATATTCTGGATATTTTAAATTTTGAAACTAATTTTTTGAGGTAGCTCCTAGTCTATAACAGGGTATCATTGGGTACAAACCATAAATACTCAGCACTTTATTTTGTGTCACTCGAAGCAAAAAAGCTATTGGAGGGGGCCAGACAGCAAGCTGGGTATATATCATGAACGGCCAAACTATACAACACAGAGAGCCTTCGCTTTTTGCCGAAAGAGAAGCCTTATTCTTATTAACGGAATAGCGTTCGGGTCGCTTTTTAAATTTACATAGTTTATAACAAAATTTTACATAATAAATGTTATTATGTACTTTAATAAAACGAGTGTGTATATAGGTCAAGCCATATATTTTAAGTTGTTCAAAGGAAGTACCTATCTAACAAAATAAACGTTGTTGCTCTTGTTATTTTTTATGTTTCCATTTTATTATTATTACTTCTGTCTTTATGTCTTTGTTTTTAACAAATTTACATATATTAATTTTTTTAATTTTTGGTTTTTAAAATGAGTCAATAGCTTCGAGCAGCGAAGAGTGTTTCCTATGAAAAGCTCCTTGCTCTTTGCTCTGTTAAAAGGAGACTTAACCGATAACACTAGCTAGCAAGCGAGTTTAGATAGAGCTATAGAGGTTGACTGGTTTATATTTTTATTACTTTTAAGCAAACTTCTCACGTTCTGCCATCGTGTATAGAGAATTATTGTTACGGTGGGCACATATTACCTCGTGCACCTAATTTCCACTTACCCTGGGGTCAACTCTTAGGTAAAAGGCTTGCGCCGGAAGAGAGCAACCTGATTCTTGTTCTATTCTTTACAGTAAAGAAGACCTTGCGTCTCTTTCATGTTCTTGCTTCTGGGCTTAACCTCGTTTTCTAAGTTTCTTTCTCAGTTGTATCACTAATTCCTTCTCATTTTCATGTGTTAGTATTGTGTTTTTAATAAATTGTACTTAAACTATTTTATACTTTTAATATTCTTTTATTATTTCAATTTTAAATTTGGCGCACTTTATTATCTTTATAAAACCTTACCAACTTTAAAAATAGAAAAAGTTATTAGTAAATTTTATTTTAAGTTAGGCGTAATTTAAAAAAAAAAATTAAATTCGAAATCATAGCCACTTTTGTTGTAATTTGTGTTTAGTGAAATTTTGAAATTTTTTAAAACTTTTTTTACATATAAACAAGTCTCCTCGTTGGAGAGCTAAATATGGGTTCCTTCATAACACGTACTACTATACGTGTTATGAATATGCAAGCAGGGTTAGTGGAGCCATGTGATACTCTACCACGTGATTAATGTAACACGTGGTATTACCATGTGAATTTGAAAAATTGAGTTATATTTATTTTAACTTATATTATTAATAATAAATTTATGCGAAACTTTATGTTTACTTACTAGTTATAGCAAATATATAAGTAAAATAAGTGTTGTTATTTATAGTAATATAAAATTTAAACATGAAAATATTTATTTACATTGATGTTTTGAATAATTATAAAATATATATTTAAATTTTTAAAAAGTATATTATTCTTTTCAAATATTTTTTATTTATAATAAATTAATATTATAGTTTTAGGCTAATTATTATTTTTATTCTTCTAACAGAAATAAATAAATATTGATTACAAAAGTGTATTAATATCTAATGCAATTATTTACTTTTTTAATATTTATAATATAAATTTTGATGAATAAATCAAAATTATATACTTTATATTTGTATAATATCATTATATTATTCTATTGCTATATAAATATTATTATTATTATGATATACAAAAAATAAATACGTACACCAAAAGTGTTTTAAAATTTAATATATTAATATATTTATATAAATCTTATAATTTATAATTTTTTTTAACTTATTACTATAAATACGTTAAAGTAAAAAATATTAAAACTTTTTGTTTTGCTTATAAAAAAATTATTTTTCTGTTAATCAATAAAATAATAATAAAGTTTTATCATTTTTATAAATAATAAAAAGTAAATTATTAATAATATTACTATTAAAAACTTAAGTTTTATTAACTTGTAAAAGTGAAAATATATATTTTTTAAATTAAATTAATAAATATACTAAACTAAATTTGATTAATAATTAATATAATAATTTTATTCTTCTTTTAAAAAAATAATAATTAATATTTTTACTTCTTACTGCTATAAAAATGATAATAGAGTAAAAAATATTAAAACTTTTTATTTCATATAAAAGTAATAATAAAAGTCTTTCGTTTTTTCGTAAATAATAAAAAGTCAATATATAAATTAATATTAATTAAATTATTAAAGTGAAAAAATAGTATTTTTTTTATTTTTCACTTTTAGAAATTCGATCGGAACCAAAAAAATGATCCAAAAGTTTCACGCGGCGGTCATCGTCACGTTTAGCCTCCGAATAGCGATTTTCTTAATAATAATAATAATAATAAATTGAAAATATATATAAATATATTATAATAAAAAACTTTTTTTTTACTCTTTAAAACATAAATTATAAAAATAAGTAAATATATATTATAGCTAAAACTTATTTTTATTTCACTTTTTTCCAATATAAATAAAAAATATAAAAAGATATTTATAAAATTCTGAATTATTAAAAAAATAATAGAAAGGTGTAATAAATAATAAACTTTGAATAGAGTCTTTCTTAATAATTTTAATGAACAGTTTATATTAAAAAAATAATGAAGATGAAACCTTTTTTTAATTTTAATTTTATAAATATAAAAGTAAGAAATATCTATAAATATAATAGAAACTTTCTTACTTTATTCATTATAACTTAAAACTTTTTTAACTTTTTATATATGTTAATATATATACATTATAGTTATTTAACTTTTTATTAATATAAATAAAAAAATAAAAATAGATTATAGTGAAAACTTTTTTATATTACTTCTTATAAATAATATAATATATTACAGTAAAAAAAACCCTTCTTTTTACTTTTTATAAGTAGTATAAAAAAATTTTAAAGTTCTGAATTTTATAGAAATATATAATAAATAATAATTTTTACAAGAAATTTTCCTGTTAAAAACTTTTTTTTTTAATATATATATAATATATAAAAATAATAATAATTTTTATTAAAAGTTCTAATTATAAAAAAATATAATTTAGTATAACAAATGATAATAATATGTAATTTTGATACTTTTCTTTTTTTTGATAAAAAAATTAATAAACAAATAGTATAATAATAAAAAATGTAAATAAAAAAGTTAAATATACTATTATACCTTTATAAATGCTTATAAAAGGTAACATAATAAAAAGTAAATTTTATTTTAAAAAAAAATTTTTTATACTTTTTTGTTAAAAAATAGTTATTTACTTAGTAAATAGTAAAAACGTAATATTTATTTTTTTTTATAAATATATTTTGCAAAGCACATAAAAATACTATATTTTTTAGTAAAACTTAATCCTGTAAAAATAATATTTATCCATTTATTATTTATTTTTATTTAGAAAAATATTAATAAATTATAAAATTTAATAAAATGATTATATGATTTTATTATATTTAGATAAATTTTTTTTAAAATTATCCTTGTTTCACGAAAAACTTATAAATATTTTCTTTTTCTTTTTATTATTATTTATTTATTATAAAAAAACAAATAATTTTAAGTCCAATATAAGAAACTAACAAAAAAGTTATACGATTTATTAATTTTAGTAAAATTTTTATTTGCAATATTATTTTCTAATAAATTTACTTACTAAATTTGTGTTTTTAAAAAAATAATAAACAATATATTAATAAAATTTTCCAATAATATCGAACATTTTTTTATATAACAATATTTTTTTCATTTTTTTTTTGTATTATAGTAATAAGTAAAAAAAGATATTATAAAAATATTAATAAAGTTTATATTTTAAAGAATTAAACTTAATAAATAATTTTTAAGAGAATAAATAATAAAAAAATAAAGTTTTTCTAAATATATTATTTGTAATAATAATAATAATAAACATTTCATAAAAAAATTATTCTAAGCTTAAATATACTAATAAGTAATATTAAAAATAAAGTCAAAAAATAAAGTTTTTACTAAATAAAAAAAGTATTATAAACATTTATAACAATAATAAGTATCATTTAATAAGTATAATTAATATATTAAATAATATTTTTTTTTAAATTTTGTGGAACTTAAAGTTCTCAATAGTTTAACGTTTATAATAATAACAAATAGAAATTTTTTTGTAATATAAATATTTTCAGCTAAAATATAATAATAATAAGTATAATTATAAATATAGAATAAATAAATATATAATTTTTTTTACAAAATAGAAAAGTATTAATATTTTTAAAAAAAATATAAAAGTAGTTTATAAAAGAATTATTACAAACATAAATATTATAATAATAATAAGTATAATCTTAAGTATAGAATAAATAACTTTATAATATAATTTTTTTAAAAAAAATTAAAATAAAACAATTGTTTTTAATAAACTTATAATAAACATAAATGTCTTAATATAACAAGTATCAATTTTTATATATAAAAAATATAATAATTTTTTAAAAAGTAGTAAAAAGTAAAGTTTTTCCCAAAAAAGTAAAAAAAATTAATTTTAAGATATATATAATAATAATAACTAAATTATTATAAGCATAACCATAAAGATAGTAATAAATATTATTTTCTAAAAATAATAATTGGATATCATTAATAAAAGGAGTAAAAAAAAAATAATTTAAAAACAACAGTCTAAAACTATAATATAATTGTTAAAATTTAAAAACTAATATAATTTTTAGTAAGTATAAATAATATTATTTAAGTTAAGTAATTATAAACTTTTACTATTATTTAATAAAAAAATTTAAAAAGTACTAAATTAAATTTTTATAAAAGAGAATATATAAAAGTATTTAAAATTTATTATTTAAAACTTTTAAAATTGTTTATAATAAATATTGTTAATAGTCAATATTATATTAGAAATTATTAAAAAAAAAAAGACGAATATAAAAATAAAACTAAAAAAACTTTTATTATAAAATATAAAAAAAATTGTAATAACAAAACTAAACATCGAAAAAATATTATTAAAAAACTTTAAAATATAAAACAAAATTATAATAAAAAAATGAAAACTTTTTACAATATTAATAATCGAAAAAACTCATAAAAATATAAAATAAAAAAGTATTATAGAAAACCTTTTGTCCAGGCGCCTTGCGTGGGGCCATAATTGTAGCAAAAAAAACTAATAGCTACCACTGAAATGGCTAAGATGAAACAAATTAACAAAAGGGTCACACTATATATAATAAACGGGTAGTTCTATAGAAAAACCGCCCGTTAAGACGACGATGGGGATTGTTTCGGGAGATTTTTTCATAATATATGAGAGACTAGAAAACCAACTCTAAAGTTTTTTATATCAAAAATGATAAATAGTAAAAAATATAAAAATATGTAAATAGATATATAAAAAAGGTGAAATATTAGTAAAAATATTTATTTTATAAAAATATAATAATAAATAGTAAAAAAATATAAAATTATATAATAAAGTATATTAACAAAAAGATAGTAAAAAAGTAAAAAAAATAAATAAAAAGTTTAATAAAGTTTTTATAATACGTGAAAAAGTTAGATTAATAAGAAAATAATAGTAAATAGTAAAAAATTTAAAAATTTATGAGGAGATACATATAAAAATTAGGAAAAATATTAAAAAAAAATTAAAAGTGGTAAAAAATACAAATATATATTAAAGGTTTATATAAATAAAATAAAATTAGTGAAATTATTAATAAAAGAATAATAATGAATTATAAAAGATATAAATATCTATAAATATGAAAAAAATATATATAAATTAAACAAAATATTAAAAAAGTAGTAATAAAATAAAAAGTTTAATAGTAATAATATAAAAGTTTTTTAAAATACGAGAACAAAAATATTAATAGGAAAATTATAATAAAATAGTAAAAAATATAAAAATTCTATAGAAAAATTAGTAAAAATATTGATAAAAAAAATTAATAAATAGTAAAAATTTAAAACTCTGTAAATATATATAAAAAATTATATAAATTAAACAAAAATTTAAAAAAGTAGAAAAAAAATTCTTAAAAATTTTAATAGTAAGAATTCTAAAGTTTTTTATAATACAAGAGAAAAAGTATTAATAAAAGAACTATAATAGATAGTAAAAAAAAATTATAAAAATCTATAAATAAATATTAAATTATACGAATTAAACAAAAAATTATAAAAACTAATAAATAATTAAAAAGAATAAAAGTAAAGTTTTTTAGAATACGAGAAAAAAATTATTAATAAAAAAATAATAGTAAATTGTAAAAAATATATATAAACAAATATATAAAAAGTATTTGAATTAAACGAATTAAAAAGTGTAATAAAGAAATTATAATAATCTAAAAATTAAAAGTAATAATCCTCGAGTTGTTATAATTCGAGAAAGAAAATGTTATTAAAAAAATTAGTGATAAGTAGTAACAAATATAAATATTATATTTGTTATTATTAATATAATATTAGTAATAAAAATACTTTTATTATTATTTTTTTAAAATATTTTTCTAAATATTTATATTTTTTTTTAAATATAATTATACTTTGTTATAATAACATTAGTAAAAACTTTTATATTATCTCTTTTACATTTTTTATTAATATTATTCATTTTTTCTCAAATTATTATATTTATTATAATTAATGATATTTGTAAAAAAAAAATTTATATTATATTTTGTCATTATTTCTATTAATACTATATATTTTTGTTAATATAATTATTATACTTGTATTATTATTCTTTAAATTTTTAATAGTTTTAATATATATGTTAATAAAAATTACTATACACGTGTATTCGTATAACCATCATTTATTACTTTACTTATTATCATTGTTACTTTCCATTTTAATAAAAAAAACTTTTTTATAATTATAAGAAAATATTTTAAGAATATTATATAACTATTTACTTCATATTTATGAATATTTTAATACATAATTTATTTTAGTTAAATGATACTTTATATTAGTTTGTATAATCATCACTTGTTGCTTTATTTATATTATTATTATTCTTTTCGATATATATTTATATATTTATAAGTTTAATAGCGTTATTATTACTATTATTTAACCAGGAAAAATACTGTTGACATAGTTATTATATTAAAGTATAACTATCACTCGAATGCTTTACTACTATTATTTAAATATATTAATATATATACTTTTAAATATTTATATATATTCATTTTAAACTAATTAAATTTATCACTGAATTTTTTTAATCCTTTTACTAAATAATAACTTTAAAAGTAATGCTCAAGTAGTTTTTCTTATTATTTTTCTACTTGTATTAACTTTAAAAAAAAACTTATACTCTGTAAAATTTATGGCACGTGCTTTGAACAGAGCTCGTAATATATCAAGAACTCTCGCGAAAAAGAAACACACTCTTTTAACAGTTAGATCCAAATTGACAATGCCTAAACAAACTAATCGGGCGCTAAATGCTGAAAATGATTTAAGAATAATTTTAGAGTAATTCTATTTTTTCTTAAGATCAATGTATCTTGCAGTTTTTTTTTAAGTCGTGTAAAAAAAATAATCACCAAAAATTTTGCTTTACTTTCCTTTAGAAAAGTTAACTAAAAAGCAGTGTACGCCATGAAAACTCTGCAATTTATTCAAGATTGCTGCCAATATAAAAATTATTTGGTATTTTGTAAATAAACTGGCCAATAATAGTAAAATAAATTATTCCAACACAAGATTGATGATGACATGAAAAAGCACGTGTGTTGTAGGACAAATACAACCCGGTCCTAAAGACGTGTGATATTATTCTATGCTTGCTTTGAAGATGCTCAGTATTTGAAATTATTCATTAATAACATAACGATCAGCGAAGTATTCTTAGTTGCATACTAAAAGACATTCAAATTGGCAGGAAATAAAGAAAAAATAAATATGATCTACCATTATATATAATTAGTAATATGAATATTTTTTAAAAGAGGAAAATATATTAATGGAAATTTGGAAATTTTAATTACCGTTTCTTATTGGTTAAAAATGCTGTAAATAGCAGCACCAATAGTTTTTTTTTAACTCCTGTTCACTTTTGTAACCAATAAGCAAAAAATTATAGATATACCAAACTATTTTCCTTGCAATTTTTAAAGAAATGTAATGTTTCAAATGAAAATTTTTAATGTTTTTTACTAAAAAACGCCAAAAGAAGTATAATTAAGTAACTGAAATTTAAAGCAGAGTAGAAATGTAGTTGAAAGTACCACAGCTTAGCAAGAAAAAATTAAAAACTTTAAAAATTTACATCAAATTCATGCTTTAGAATAAAAGTTCAAAGTTTACTTTTCTATCAAACTTTTATAAGTCTCTACAAAAGGATCGTTTAATGCATATAAAATACTTTTGTTTGTAGAGTATAAAAAAATGTAGGGTGTAAAATATAAAGTCAATTAAAAATTAATGATAAAAAATATATAAACTATCATTTCAAGATTAATGTAAGAATAGTACACTCAAATTTTTTGAAAAAGTTTTTTATATTAAGTTAATGAGTATATAAAAGAAATAGATATAAAGAAATAATAAGATTGTTATAAAAGAAATAACAAAAATATTTAAAAAAACGAATATTCCATATTTTTTATTTAAGTCTAGAAAAATTAAAAAGTATAAAGTTGAAGTAAATGCAAATTTTGAAGTAGAAAAAAAAGGAGGAAAAGTTAATAAATTAAAAGTAAAATAAAAAATATATAATTAAAATATAGAACTTTTAATAAATTTAAGTAAATTTTTAAATTAAAATAAACCCTAATTAAATGATTAACTAAAAAATGGTGCAATAAATTTAAAAAGGACGAGCAGAAAAAAAATGAAGGAAAATGTATATAAAATAAAATAACTATATATATTAAATATATTGAAGTTAAGATGATAATAAATTACTTTTTTTAAAAAGTTATTATTTATTTAAAAGTTATAATAAGAAAATCAGGAAAAAAATTATTAACCTTCATTGTTGTTAAATCTCCTTTTTTTTTATTTAGATAGAAAAACTTTTATGTTAATATTTTAAAGGCCTCCTAGAAAGATAAATTAATATCAAAGTAAATATTAAAAAAATGGCAAGTAAAAAAAAATAGTAAGACATAAAAATAGTAAAAAATTAAATCTTTCATAAAAAGTCAGTTATAGTTATTTACTTAAAAATTGGGCTAAAAAAAAATTAATTGAAATTACAAAGATATAATATAGTTTACTAGTGCTATTTAATGAAAGGAAATAAACTTAAAGATAAAATTTAGGTATATATTCTTATGAACATAATTCAAAAGAGAAAAATTTTACTAAAAACTTGAACTCTTTTCAATAATATAAAAGAGAGAAAAACAGAAAAAAGTTAACTTTAATAAGAAACAAAACATAGAATTATAATAAAATATTATTTTTTAAAATTAAAGTTTATAAGACGTTAACTACATTATAAAAAAAAGATAAAAGAAAAGTAAACTTTCATAAATAAAAGAAGAAAAGTTTTAAGTTGAAAGTAGATTAGCATGTAAATGTAGAGAATTAACAATTGTGTAGTAGGAAGCAAAAAAAATAATATTTTTCATTAGTGTATTATTTTTATAAAAAAAAATGTATGGTTATTTTATAACAAAATAAGGTGTGAATCATACTCAAAAAAAATTACTATTAGCAGAGATCTTACGGGTTATTGACATTTTTAACACGATCTCCAGTAACTTATAGTACTGAGGTTAAAAATAATGGCCTCCTTCAGTACTTAAAAAGGTTTTCTTTTAATATCTTTCGCATTAAAAAAGTTTCTGTTTAATATCTCCAACGAACTAAATAACTATATTTATTGAATTAAATAGAGATATAGCTTAATATTATATAAGAGCTTATTAAATTGTGGATAAATTTTGTTGAAATATTGAAGGCTTCTATGATAATTTTTATATTACCCTTTTTTTTTAATCACACTTGTAAAGGAAGCAAATCTAGGAAGACTTGTAAATATATTATTTAAAAATCCGCCCTTTTCTTTTAAGTAATTATAACAAAAAAAAAATTAACTTTTGAGTTTTATACAAATGAGCTCTCGTAGTGGAAGAAAGCTATTTAGGCAAACTGATGTGGAATACCACTACGATCAAGACGAATTTGAAAAAGGGAGCAATTCGGTAGAATTCTACCCTACTAAAAAAATACCTGCTAACTTCGGGAGAGAAAACTTTGCTAATTGACAGTACATCAAACTAATAACTTTACTTGTGTATGGATATTGTCTAAATTGTCGGGGTTCTGTAAACAGAGGGTTTGGATAATATTTTTGCTACTAGAAAGGTTAACGCCTATTTCCTAATGTAGAAATTCATTTATGCGTTATTTGAAAAACAGTTAACTATATTATTTGGCCAAATATTCTTTTGATAATTCTTCTTTTTTCTTTTTCTTTTGTTTGTGCGCCATTTATTTTTTTTTAAAAGTTCTCTAGATTACTTCATTTAACCGAAATAAAAACCTGGTTATACACCTGAAGTACAACCTTAAAAAAAATTAGGGGTATTGATACCTAAACCTGCCCTCTGCTACGCCCTGAGAACGTAGGTCTGTGAAGATAGTCAAAGAGCTCAACGAATCACAAACTTGAACCAAAAAAGAATGTATATATATATAACTAGAGGTAAGAAGAAAACTTAATAGTAAAACTCTAAAGAAGGTCGAACAGAAATAGGATTTAGAAAACTGTATAACGGAACTCATAAATTAGATCAGGCCAAAAAACACAAGGAATTACAAGCTCTAAATGGGGAAAGAACGCCTCAAATACTCGCTCGGACAAAATACAAAAATCACAAATATATCCGAATACAGATATGAAAAAAGAAGCGTGTATACCGAAATTGTATTGGGTTCGTAGAATATAATGGCAAAAGATGTAGATCCTACCTCCGCCTACTGGTTAATTATATTCCCAAATAATTTTGGTGTAACCTTAAACCTTTATCTATTAAAAAATTATCTTACTTTTGAGGTTCACTAGCTTTACTAACTAATGTTTTTGTTGTAATAGCCAGTTTGGTAACACTCTTTCCTCCAACAAATTCTTAACTATGCTTCGCTTTATCTTTCAGTGATCTCTAATTTCTCAGCCCTTTTAGATTAGGACAAAACTTTACTGTTTTACAGACTATTATTCCGATAGCTAAGTACGGCAGTGCAAAATATAAACCACAAAAACACAAAATCGTAGTGCGTTCTTCATATAATAACATAGTCATATATTTCGAAAATACCGTCTACCATGGTGTATTTTCTCAACTCCTCTTGTCGGTTTTTTTTATAACTACGGGGATCAGAAGACTCATGGCACTGTGCAAGTATAATTATAAAACCAAAAGATCCACCCTCGCTTCGTTGCTGCTGTGCTTGCGTAGCTTCTTGCTGAAGAGGCAAAAGCGAGCTGTAAAGGTGGCACTCTCATGGATACGTATAAAGATATTAGTATTAACTTAACAATATAGACTTCGCACTACATCTGTAGTATTAAATTTATTGTAGTTTATAAATTTTGATATATATAATCTTAAGCCTAAACTTTTCCTCATAGTTACTTTTTTAACGCCTATGAAGTCTTAACATGCCAACAGAGGTTCCTACCCTCAGACATGACCTGAAAGGGGTTTGTAAAATATATAGATAATACATAGATACTTAGCAAGGGGGCGTTGGATGGCGCCAGGTGTTCAACAGAACGTTTTAAAAAAGTTAAGGAGTAAGAAACTTTCTTAAGCCTTTTATGGTAGAACGTTCTATTTGGGAGGGGAGTTTGCTTTAATAGCTTCTAATTTGCAAGAAAAGGCAACAGAAGCCCTTAACAAACATACGCCCCGTTCAAAAAAAAAAGTATCACGAGCCCCGCTGGACATAAGAAAATGCAAAGTAGACAGCAACAACTTAAGAAGAGATACCAACGTCCAATTTTCGGAAAAAACCAATTGGCTGAAAACTTTAAATTTCTCAAAATTATACGAAAAAATAATATATATAGAGAGCACGGAACCGTTGTTCAAACCTCGCGCTTTTTAGTTTGCTTTGTGTAATAAAGCTCACTCGGTTTTTTGTTCAGATTTTGTTATCCTGCAAAAAGGTAAAATTATTACCGATAAATCGCCCCCCCGGGGGCACCGCATTAATTCCAAAATATGAAAATAATTTTTATTACGCATGATCTCAGCAATTTTGAACAAATCTCAGACGCTTGCAAAAGAGAAACAACTCCAATCTAACACGGAGCAACCTCCGTGCTTCACTATTGGAACTACACATGCGGGTAACATTTTTTCGTCCTTGTACCTTCGGACGAAAATTCCAAGTTTTTGGCCGAAAACTTGTCAGTTCACAACACGCTTTTCCTGTCCTCCAGTGTCAATTTTCATGTATTCTGGGCCACTGAAGACGTTTTGTTTTGTTTTCTCGTCAATGTATTGGTTTCTTACGGCACATCGACTGTGTAAATTGACTTCTTGAAAGGGCCTTTTTACTGTACTGACGGTAACTTCGCTTCGGCAATTCCGATTAAAATCTGCGGTAATTTTAGGGGCTTAAGACGTCCATTATTCTTATCAATTTTATTCTTTGGTCGTCGGCTGTTGAATTATTCTTAGATGGATCAAGGCGCTTGAGGTCTTCAAGATTCCTGCGTTTTTGTATCGAGGGATTTTTGATGGGCAGTAGATTTTTTCACACCCCACTTTTTCGGCGATCCACCACACTTAAAAACCACCCAGTGTAGAGTTACAAGCTCTGAACTCAAGGCTTTTCCAAGCGCCATTTTAAAAAAAACAAACCACCTAGAAGTGCTCTTGTTAACCCATAACATAAATAAAAACTACTCGCTTGGGTTTATGCGATGACTGCAGTATAAAAGAATAATGAGGATTAGGTGGCACATACCGTACATAATCAGTCACTCCTTGGAATTCGGGCACTCCCTGGCAGCTCCCGTGTCGACATTTCTGGAAAAAACCGTTATCCGGCTTAAGAGCATTGAAAATTGGGAAGGTCTTAAAACACTTAAACCCTCTAATTGTTTTAAAATTAAAGATTCACATTAGCGATAAAGGCAGTAAGACCTTTTTTTTTCCAGCTCTATAAACTGGTCATCGGAACGCTTAAGAGCTTTTTACGTAGTAGTATTTTATAATTTCTTATCTTTTGTCCATATTTTTCCATGAGCGATAGCGTATATGCGCTTGGGAAAGTTTTAAACTATTAAAGCATTTATTATAAAGCCCTTAACTTTTATTATATCACATAATATACATCTAGTATTTAAAGTTTTGGGTTGGGGTAACCAAGTTAAGTAAAGACGGTATAAGAAAGATCATTACTGAGGATTATAAGTGGTTAAGTGCTTTGTATAAATACCGAGTTGCCCACGCAGAAAGCCTTTACCACTGTTACATAATATAAATGTAAAATAATCTTATATTTAAACATATGTAATAAAAATACATACATTAAGCTCTTTGCTGAAATAAGTTGTAGCCTGCCGGCACTTAAAATAAATAAAAGATAAATGAAGCTTTCGTAATAACTAAAAACTTCTTCATAAAATACGTTTATAGCACCTCTCTTTGAACTTATACCTAAAGTGAAAGTTTTACCAATTTTACAATCATATTTTCAAAGAAGTAAACTATTGACACATTTCAGGCGTCATGGCACTAGATTTGTACACTAATTTGGTTTAGTTGGTGTTTCCAAACAAAGTCATTCTGTGAACTTAATTACCTTGAGCTTAGAAACCCACTTAGCTAGTTTCTAGTAGAAACCAATGTTAAGGGTGTAACAAGGTAGTTTGTTCTATGTAACCTTTGTAGTACTGGTTACTAATATACTGTTAACCCTATAGTAGTCGCAGGGGGTCTCACAAATCTGATAGTTATTTTTTTTCTAAATTTTCAAATTAGATAAAAAGGTAAAGTTTAGTGTGACTTGTATCCTAATATCTCAATAAACAACAAGTGTTCAAAGATTTACGGAATTTTTTATTTATGTTAAAAGTAAAAAATTAAAAACTTAAGGAGGTCTGAAAGACTTACGCAACTATTAATGTCGAAATAGGAGGTGCGACTACTGTAGGGTTAATAAATAAATAGCAAAACTTAGTTTAACTCGTTTAAAAAATCAGAGTTGAACTGGGATCCTACTTAGATCTAAAAGCAATGTATAGGATCGCCTTGAGTAAACGCTGGGTGTATGCGTAACCAGTATATGTAAGTATATCGCGCAGTTCCTTTTAGTTTCAACTAGTATTTGAATTAATAATTGTCTAATAAGAATAGTACAAATTATTCTTTCACCTTTTAAAATTTTTTTAATGTTTAAATTTACTCTAAAAAAATTATCACAACATAATGAAGACTTAGTGGTTAGTTAAACTTAAATTTTTTTTGTTATTTTTTAGTTTGTTTTGTTAAGTATATTTAAAAAGATCAATAATAATAGGAGTAAGGGGTTGATCCTCCTTCTTTATTTTTTTAGCTTTCCTTTATTGCTTTTCGCCTACCTTCTTATTACTGTCTCATAACTGAGGTTCTTAAACAGTTTTACTATTTTTAAGAACAATTATTCCTAGCCATTAATTATTGTCTTGCTGACCCCTCTTATAACTCTCAAGCTTACTATAAATCCATACTCCTCAACGAAAGGTATGGCAAGAGTTCCACACTAGTTTAATAAAATCATGAAAAAATAGGAATTTATCTTAGGCATTTGACTCTTTACAAAATATGATTAAGTATTAATTGAATGAGAACGAAGTCTTTATTATTAATTATTGGTACTAAATAACCACAAAACTATTGATTATTAGATATTAAATGGTAAGCATTAAGACCATAAAGCAATAACGGATAAAGAAGACAAAACGGTATTAACTACATCACAAGATTAATTTTTTAAAAATATATAAAACGAATCGCGAGTTAAACGATTTAGTTTGAATCTGGCTTCAAGGTATACGTTCTTGTTTGAAGCTCGTTTGGCTTTCATTTATGTAGTTAGTGCAATACTTGCGAGGAGTAATTCCTTCTACTAATGTGATTGACTATGCAAAGTTAAAAGCTTAGAAAAATTCTTTTTAACTATTTTTAAAACTTAGAAAAACAACCTTTTTTTTTTTTTGAACTACTTTTTTTGGCCTACTATTGTGCTCTTTGCTAGTATATACTAAAAGTAGGAAACTAGTTAAAAAAGGATCTAACTAGAAGTATGACACTAAGTTAAATGTTTACATCCAAAGGTATTAAGGTAAAGTGTGCTTGCTTTTACAAATAATAATACAGCAGAGATTCTAGTTTAAAAAATTCATAGTAATATAAACTTACTTATAAGGTTAACGTAAATTAAGCGTTAAACTAATAAAAGAAAAATTTTAAAACTAATATTCCAATAATAAGCTATAGCTATAAAATAGTTGACAGTAATAAAAAAGTAAAAGTTAAAAATATTAAAACTAAAAACTAGATTAGAGCTTAAATTTAAGTATCTTAACTCGATTTTAAAATATTAAGTTTCATGCAGAAAGAAGTTATAGTAGGCAAGAAAATCTAACTATAAACTATAGTTAATAACTAAACTAAAATATATTTATAAAGTTAAAATTTTTTTAAACAGGAAAAATCTTAAAATTTGGTTAAAATATTAGTTTATTGCAGAAAGAAGTTAGGTAGTCAATAAAGTCAAACTAGTAACTAAATATTTTCTTAAAACCTAATTAACATTAATAAACGTAAAGAAAAAATGTCAATAATAAGGTCAAAAGAGAATGGGACAGTTGAAAAGAAAAAACGATAAAAAGGAAGTCCGGCTGGCCAGACTCGAACTAGCGACCTAAGGAGCTTTGTAACCATTACAATCCTCCGCTCTGCCACCTGAGCTACAGCCGGAACCCCAGGTTGGGGGCAGCAAATATAAAATTTAAATTTATGTCCTGAAATTATTTTTTTTAAAGCGTGAATTCAGTGTCTAAAAAATTTTACTTAACAAAATTGAGTTTTAAGTTTTTGTAAAGTTCTTGGGGTTCTTTTTTTTAAGCGTCACAATTTAAGATCAAATTTTATTAAATAAAAAATAGTTAAAAATCTTAGAATCTTGATTCTTTTTTAACCTAAAAACTAAAATTCAAACTTTTCTTAACAAAATTCGAGTTTAAAGTTTTTATCAGACCCGTGAAATTCTCCTTTATTTAATGTGATAATTGAAATTTAGAATACTATATTTTATGAAGGGAACTTTTATACGTTCATCATTTACTGGTGAAAATTTAAAATATAAAAAATTTATTCAAGGACGAACTTTTATTCATCAGGTTTTTTTTTAGTTGCTTTGTTTTATTAATCCATGAATAAAATTCTAACTTATTACTAATTTTTTAATTATAAGCCATATTAACATCTTTATAAACAATTTTTTTTTATCATTAAAATTTATTATTATAAGCTACTATTTCGTATGTAGCGAAATGACTCAGTTTTTGTTCTGGAGAATTAATTATAGTTTAACTAAAGCTAGCACTATGTCTTTAATTTTAGATGAACTATTTTTATGTTATAGATGTTTTATTAGACTTAAAAAAGCAATTATTTAAGTATGCAATACAAAGGAAAAAGAGTTGAGAAACCTTTAATTGTGGATACTATCTATTTTCTATTTATTACTATTATTTATTATAAATCTTTTCTACCTTTTATTTTTAATAATATATTATTGTGAACCAAGCTCTTTTACTCAATCTTTATGCTTTTCAAAAACTAATTTATATTATATAAAGCTATATATTTTTACATTATTCTTATTGTTTCAATATACTTAATAATGTTTCACTTATTACTATATAAACTTTTCTTTTCTAGTAAGTTTAAACTTGTTTTCTGCTTATGGCTGTACCAGTATATATATTAAAAATATAATAGTTTTAAAGCATATATAATTAAAGCTGTACCTTGTAAAGATATTAAGGTATAGTAATATTTTTAAAAAAACTTAAGAAAAACTAAAGCAAAGTTAACATTGTCCATATGATGGCTACTTAAATTTAAACGTTAGGGAGAAAATAAGAAAACTATAAAAATTCTTACATAATTTAAATATTCGTTATACATTTATTTAAAAAAAATTATTAATTTTCTTAATTACTTGATAGATTTACATTTATAAGCCTTTTTTTTTTATATAATTTTTATAGCTATTCTTTGATAAAGTTTTAAGAGAATAATTAAGATTTAGTATTTAATATAATTTTAGGGATTGAAAATAATTAACCTTAACATATGTTTTTTTAGGCTGTTAAAAAGTTTAAACCAGAAAATAATTAAGGAAAATTTAGAATTTGTTTTTCATATTTTAAATATATATTATACATTTCAGTACTTTAAAGCTTCAACTTTAATAAGCCTTTAAATCTTTATATATTATATATTACCATTCTGTGTACTGAAAAGCAAGTGAAGTTTATACTTATTTTATACTTATTTTATCTTAAATATTTTTATACATCAGTTTCTTAGGGAATAATCAAGATTTTATTATAATTTTTTATTAGACAAAATAAAAGTTAATTAAATTTTATATGCTTATAAAAAGTTTTAAATTTATTACATTTTTATATAAAATTATTTAGATAGATATTTTGCTTCCCTTCAAAAACGAATTGATTTCTAACGAGTTTGTAGCCTGCGGAGAGCAAGTGTGGGCTACTGGCAGTTGTCATCTTGCTTCTTTTTTTGCTCAATCATTTCTTAAATTTTTAAAAGGTTACATATATATTATTTTAATATTTTATATAGAAAACGAGTATATTTAATCATTTTTGTATTAATTTTTAGTTTTATTGTTTTATTTATATAATTTTATTAAAAAATTAATATTTTAGTTTTTTATTTGATTTAAATTATATATTATAAAATCGTTTTTAATTCTTAATTAGTATTAATTAGCTACTTTTGATTTATTTAGTTTATTTTTAAAAATATGTTAAATATTTTATATAGAAATATATTATTTAAATACATTGTTTTTCAAAATTATTCATTTTAAATTCTCCTATTACAATTTTTTTTAGATCCCTTTGTTTCATATAAATAAATAAATTTATTTGTTTACAAATTTTTATTTATAAGTGAAACAAAATTATGTTTCTTCATATTTAATTTCTATTAAATAATTTTTTTACTAATTTTTATTTAAATTTGATCTTTGTTTACTTCAGTTTTTATTTTTTTAATACTTTGCTTTTACTTTTTATAATTTTATTTACAAAAATGTATGTTTTTTAAATAATTTTAGTTTACTATTTTTTATTTTTTTATTTTTTAATTATTAAATTGATATTTGGTTCATAATTTAACATAATTTGTTTACTTCTATTCTGAATTATAGCTTTTAAATATTTTTTAATACCAATTATTATATTATTAAGAAAAATTTATATATTTATTTATATTTTTTCTTAAAAATTATTTTTTTAATTTTTTATAATATAGAACTTATTTATAGTTATTAATTTTTATAATGAAAGTGACTACTAAATACTTATTATTATTTTGGATATATTTTTTTACATAATTATTATTATTTTATAATTTCGTATTATCAATTTTAATAAAAATTTTTTTTTACCAGCAACGAAATTATATTGTTTTGGTTTAAGCAGTTCTCCTTTTGACTTTTTTTTTTCTCTTTTACCAAAAGGTATTATTTTATATATATATTTATATATTTTTTTACTTTACGTACTTATAAATATATTATTATTTTTCCTTAAACTTACAAAATTTATTTTTTTATATATTCTAATATTTTTTTTGTTTCGCTTTTATATGATAATATGAATAATCCATGTTATTATATTTAAATATTATTGGAAGTTTATTTTTATATACGTATATTTATTATATATATTAATAATGTTTAATTTTATTGTGGATTATTGTTTTTTATATATATTTTTAATATATTTTACTTTTAATTACTTTTCCTTTAATTTATTATTGTCATAATAAAAAGAAAACTTAAAAAAATTATAAAATAGTTATAAAAGAGGTTTATTATTTAAACCAGTAAGAAATATATTGATAAATTAATTAACGAATTTATTGGTTGGACTTTTATCATTTTTAACCAATGAAAATTAATTATTTTCATTTTTTTAACTATAAAAATTTTGATGTTTGTTAATTTTATGATTCTGCTATTTTTCATTTTTTTATTTTTCCAAACTTTTTTTATAGTGTGATAATTTTATATATATTTCTTATATCTTTATATGTTTAGAAATATTGAGTATTATTTGTTTTAACAAAGAGTAAAAATCTTAGAATTATATATATATTCATAAAAAAATTTGAAAACTGCCTGAAAAAATATTTATGATTAAAAAAAGAAGTTAAAACCATCCTCGTTTTTTTCTAAGTACGTGATTTTTTAATGTTAACTTTTTTTTTTACTTTAAACGTTTTTTATGATTCTATTTAACTCCTGCCTAGATATAATATTAATATTAGAAATAATAATTGTTTAAAAAAAAGGCCTTAATAAAAATTATTAAAGAAGAAAACAATATAAGTAAGCAAACTTTTATAATATAATTTTAAATATTATAAAGCATTAATATAATTATATTAGTTATTATGATATTTTGTTTAGTTTTATTTTGTATATTATTATAAATTTTTATTAAAATATATTTGTTTATTATAATAAAAATTTTAATTTTATTATTTTTTACTATATTATATATGTAAGTCTACTTTTTATATATATATTTTTTTCCCAACTAAGAGAAGACTTGTCTTAAGCATTTTAACAACGGGTTTAACCACGTGCCATACTCCCGGTTACGTGGTTATTTTTTCTGTATTGCCTGATAAATACCACTGTAAGCCCGAATATTTTGCTAAAGAACACGTGCTACACTGCGTTGTTATGTCACGTGTTACATTGGCACGTGCTAATTTGTATAGGTGTTTTTCTTTCTTATTTCAGAATTTGTCAATTTTTTATTTTCATCATTAAGTTTTATAAATGCTGTACTACAAAAAAAAGTTTTGCTGTATAAAATAAACTAAAAATTAAAAAATATTAGGGATTTTTTAGTGTCTGTTTTCATTATTTTATTGGCTAGTTGTAGTTATTGGGTAATGAAAAATCAATATTTTTATGGTGCTAGTAAAGACAGACTTCTGATTAGTTTAAAAATTTTTATAGGAGTACAATTTTTTTTATAGCACCATTATATTTGCGTATTAATATTATTAATACTTTTTAAATATTATTTATAACACTTATTTTATTAATTTTTTCATCACTACTTTTAATAGAAATATTTTTCCTTATTTTATTCAATTTTTTGTTATATTATATACTTATCATTTTTTAAACCTTTATTTTTTTAAAAATACTAATAATTTATTTTATTTCTTTATGTTATTAATTTCTTGTTTTTTTTTTCAATACATATATAGTAAATTGATATTATTCATAATAAGTTTAAATAGACTCACTTTTTTATTGTACATTTCGCTTTTTGCTCTAAAATTTTTTATTTTTTTTTGTTTTAATTTTTATTAAATTTTATTAATACTTATATAAATATTTTATTTTACTTTATATATTTAACTTTTTTTTATAAATATTTATTTTCATTTTTTTATATTTTTTTTAAATATTTTTTATAGGAAAAATTTACTTTTCTATATTCAACTTAATACTATAAGAAATTTTAAATTTAATTTTTTATTATATATTTAACTTTTTACTATGAATTTTTTATTTTTTATTTTTTATATTTTTTATTACTACTATAAATTATTATTACTATTTGTTATATTTTTATAATAAAGTAATTACTTTTACTTCTGTATTTTTTTAGATTTTTAAAATCATTAAA